TTGATCTCCCGTAATTTTGGAGTATTGAATCTGGCCACTAAGGCGGAGTGTGTTTAGCGAGGCATCAGGGTCAAAACGCAACTTGCTTTCACTTAAATACTGAACATTGATCTGCCCATGGCGGGCTCGGAACGCCCGCTTCACATTTGACTAAGCTTTGGGCATTGAAACTGCCGYTGGAGACTCGACGTGTACTGCYGATCTTCTGTCGAAGTCTGTTCATTGCTAGGTCCTCTAGTGCGGTCCGGGTAAAGCGTTGCGATGGGCTCRRCGTGCCAGCTTGATCRTTCTTGAGTATTTGCAGATTAATCTAGCYGCGAACTGGGGCGAATGCACGYTGGACGAGGGCTTGAACAACCGYTAGAGCGATCTCAAACTTCTGGGGTCARATCTGATCGCAAAGCAGAGTCAAATTCTTGCTGAACCAGTAATCRATAGGTCATCGCAGAAATCAAAACTCCCTCACCGCCGCRTCAGAACGAGGGTGAGCGACTTAGGGTCGTGCCTTGCCTAGCAGGGTTCAGACGACGGAAGGATCTATCGRAACGGGAAAGTGGGGATCCGCGAGAGAGTGTGAAGGGAGAGGGAGAGAGAAAGCCACATACGTGGAGAGAGAAAGAGATAGTMTGCGCGCAGAGAGATAGTGCGCAACGAAGGGGGGGGGGAGRACGAGACAGAACAGACAAGAGAGAAAACAGCGAGAGAAGGAAGAGGAGAGAAGAGAGAAGAGAAGAGGGAGAACATTGGAAGAGACAGAGAGAACAGCGCAAGGGAGAACAGCGCAAGGGAGAACAGCGGGAGAGAGAAAGAAGAAGAACAGTAAAAGAGCTGTCGAGATTCATTGTTGTGCGAACCTGCTGGTATACCGGTTGGTCATTGAAACTCATTGCTGCTTGAACCGGTCGATTTATCGTTTGTCTATTGAAGGTAATTGCGGTTTGTACCGGCCAATTTGCTGGTTGAGTATTGAAACTCATAGCTGTCTGAATCAGCTGTTTTTTCGTTTGACTAATGAGACTCATTATTGTCTGAACCTGTTGATTTACCAGCTGGCTGATCGAAACTGTTGGCAGTGTGAAGTTGTAAAATAAAGAAGAAAGAGAATAGAAAAATAGGTAGCGTGACAGGGTGTCTCCTACCTAGATCCCTGCTGCTCGTTGAGGACCTCGGAAGCGGGCACGGCAAGTGACAGGCGCTGTTGCCCCTGGCTTCAACGAGCGGTAGGCGATCCCTCCCCGGGTTTCCTCACACCGGTACCGGTCCAGCATAGGACCTACCGGCGGCGCAGTGCAGAGGCTGCCGCGTTTAGGCGCCAAGTCCAGTTTTGAAGCTGGACCGTTGATCAGATCAACGGTCTAGGCCGGTAGGTACCAGGAGGTAGGAGGCCGGCCCAGCACTACAAAAGGCTGGGTACCAGCCTGAGTAGGAAGGTTGGTAAACAGGAGTTAGTCTTCAGGATTAGCACAGCATTGCAGCGTTAGTAAGATTAGCGCAGTGCAGCAACGTTAGTGGGAGCAGCGAGTCGAGATCAAGACAGCGGCGAGGAGGAACCAGCGCAGCAGGGACAGCGCCAGCCACTGGCCCAGCACCAGCCTCCTGCAGTGCCATAGCTACCGGGACAGATACCAGGGAGGAAGGCCTCGCCTTCTCTCCCTCTTCCTCCACCGCCACTCTCTCTCTCTCTCTCTCTCTCTCTCTCTCTCTCTCTCTCTCTCTCTCTCCCCTCCTACTTTCTCAGTCTAAGTCTACTTCTGGTTTCTCCTACGGGACTACTGTAAGTATGAAAGATGGTTACAAATTCTGATGGCATTGGAGACTGTGACATTGGGAGTATAGGTTGAGGACGACTTGTGGGATCTGATCTCATCTGCCTCTGGAGATGTACTTGACATTCTGAGATCAATATCTGAGACATTGTGGGACACTGTATTCGCGACATTTTGGACTTTCGCCATCTCTGACATTTCAAGATACTATCTTTGGAAACATTGAGTTGACGCCATCTTCCCTCTCCTCCTCCCTTCGTCTCTCTCCTCCCTCCATTCGTCCGTGGATGATCTCAGACCCTGGCCTTTCATCTATGTCCAAGGCCAGGGCTTTCACACCCCTGATGAATGATTGAGAGTGTTCGATTGCAGTCCGAGTCAGGTCAGAGTCAGTCCATGTATGTCAAGTCTTCCGCTGCGCTTGTATTTACTCTGTATTATCTGGTCGGTTCTGGGAATCTGCGCCATACTTATGACTGTGTTTCACGAGTATGTAACACCATCTATTGGTGGGGAGCTACACCTGCTGGAAATCGGGTCCAGCGTCCCAGTACAATTATGAGAATGTATCTGCTGGAAATCAGTCTAGCGTCCCTGTAGAGTGATGCGAATGTATCTGCTGGGAATCGGGCCCAGCACCCCTATGCAGATCCACGAAACCCTAACAAAGATGCATATGATGGCACAGATCTCTGCCAGTGATGTAATATGTGTGATATGCTGTGTGTGAATTGTTACAATGAGCTAATCTATCCAAATATTTCCAATATGAGCAGAGGCATTGATTACTTCCCTGCAGCAGGAAAGGATTGACCTCGTGCCCATGAAGTATTGTCCTACCTGTAAAACCATCGGCCTCAATTACCCCAAGAACTTGTAAGAAGGGAAAAAAAACAAAACTCGAAACCCTAAGAAACCTGCATCCCCTTTGGGGGGGATCAGCACCCCTTCATGATACGAGATTGAGGGCCGGTCAGCTCTAATCAAAAGGGGGTGGTCATCTATCCTACTCCCACCCAATGGCCGACAGAGAAGAACAAATCACCATGTAGAAACAACAGATAGAAAGGGGGGGGAATGGCAAAGTGATCCTTCAACCCCGAGCCCCATCTTGCCGGACACATCACTCCTCATATTCCCCAACCCCCCCACTTCGCCAGTATTTTTGCCGTTGTTGTTGTTGCGATTAAGGATGTTATCATTGTTGTTGTTGTTGTTGTTGTTGTTGTCATTGCTGTTGTTTCTGTTGTTATTGCTGTTATTGCCCCCATTACCTCCTCTGTTGTCGTTGCTGGTGTTGACGATGTTGATGATGATGACTCGATGATTGTTGTTGTTGTTTTTGTTACCTCTGATGTCGATGTGATCACCGCCGCCGATGTTGCTGAAATTGTTGTCGTTGTTGCTGTTGGTGTTGTCGCTGCTATCTTCGTGTCCACCTGCGCATCATCCATGTCGTTCGCGCCCTTCGTCTTAGTCAGCTTCGCATCTACTACCATCTCTTGCCAGTCCTCCTCCAGTAGAAAGTGCAGGTCACGGCTCTTTGCGAAGAGGGCATTGCAGATACCCATCACATCATCTGCCCTCCCCCAATCGATATAGGCTTCGAGCTGGGGATCCGGCCCCTCCTCCAGCTCCCAGATGATATCCAGTGTCTCCTGCGTTAGATCTCCCAACCATTCAGCCATAGAGATCGCCCCCCAATCGACCTCCAGCTTCTCCTGCCACTGCAATGACAACACCCCCACAATCTCCTGCAGTAGAGTGCAGGACCTCTCGAGTATGATTATCCATTCCTCCGCTCCACTTCGTAGCTCCCCCACCAAAGCCATCTCTCTCCCACCAAACTGCGCCGCTATAGCAAATCTTCAAAACGTTTGTCAATCACACGGCTGGCGCAACCCCTGCACACGCGTCACGGGACCATCATGTCGCCAGACAATAGGTGCCACGTGTCAATCAAACTCACGCGCGCCTATCGGGCGCGTGCACAGGCCTAGCTGCCGAGGGCATGTCTCCCCTGGCGCTAGTCTAGCCGGGGCACCGGATCCTACCGGTCCGCCAGCATCAGGGCGCTAGCCTCAGCGCTTGTTTGGCCTCCTCCCCAATCGGTCTTTCTGGGTCATGGACTTACCACTTCGTTCACGATTTCGATCATTTGTGGCCTCGGGTGACACAGTACGGCCGTCGAATAAATTGGATTTCGACGGCCTGGCAGTTTCCGAGCGGGGACTGTAAAGATGCCCACCTCCAGTCCAATGAGATGCGCCGAAAAAAGAAAAAAAAAACAAAGTTGGACTAACTTGGACATGATATCTCATGGCTTTGCGTGGGCGTGAAGTCCGGATTTTACTGGCTCTAAAGGGGGTGGGTTGATTTCCAGACTTCGTTTTTTTTTTTTTTTGGCTCTGAGAAATAGAACTTGAAATGTGAAATTCAGATATCGTGGTGGATCTGACAGGAACACTTCCACATCTGTCGGATGGCCTGTTAGAGGCATCATGAGAAACATGGGGATCAATGTATCCCTATAGCCATTACTTGTTCATCCTCGTGGCTGTGTTCGTGGGCACATTTTATTGCCACGGTACATCACTATGAAGACTTACGTGAAGGAGATCGTACCAACCCATGAATTCGGGTGCACAGCTGTTGTTCATACTTTTATGTGCTATTTCAATTCATTAAATCAGAAAACGATCCATTCATGCAAATAAAAAATCACTTCGTATTTACCAAACAACCATAAGATTGCGTCACACATCGTAGAATACTTCGGTAGTGGGTCTAGGCCTCTGGGATAAAAATATAGTCATTACAGGCAGATTTAGGGCATACTCACACGGGGACCCCAAATCGGCAAAATATGCGGATTTGGGAAGGGTCGATTTGAGGTTTTGGTCATGGTTCACGTCACACTGCTGTACCTTTTCAGATGGGACAAGGTCGCAGCTGTCTGAAGAAATGGGGATTTGGTACTTGGCTGGTGACACGGCTCCATCCACCAATTGTGCAAGAACTTTTGTGAACGATTTTTTGCTAATTTTTAAAGAAAATGCAAAAAAGAAAAAGGGAATTTGACCGCAAAATCCGTTGCCCGCGGCTTCCAGCCGCTGACAAATGGGCACTGGGATAGTACATTTGCAAATTTGGTAGATCAGTGTGACCCGCCTTTTCCTTTTTTTTTTGGGATTTTGGGATTATAGGTCCCCGTGTGAGTATGCCCTTAGTCCAGACAATACTAGTAGATCTTTTGAGAAAATATCTCACAAGTTTTGAGTAAGAGTTTTTTGGTGCCTATGGATGGCTAGAAGGGAGAGAAGATTCCTGAAGGAAGATTCTACCCCTGCTGCATTTTTTTCACAATTTAGACAGGCAATCAGAACTGATATAGCATCTGAGTGGATCTCTACTAGGAGAAAACTCAGGGATAAAGAAACAGTTATGACTGCTTTTCTTAATAATTGATCAGGCAACTTCAGATGGACCAGTTTCACAGACAAGGGTGAATTGTTCTACTCGGAAATCCTTTGGAATAGACCCAGGATTAGGCCCAGTTGAAAACAAAATATATCTGGCAGCCCTACCTTCTTCACCCGAATACAACGTACGGTCATTATGGCTGTATTTAGATGGAAAGATAGCCCAAATCCAGCTATAATGACGGTACGTTGTATTCGGGTAAAGACTGTAGCAGACTGAGAGGGCTTCGTAGTGCTACTGTCAGGTGCTATCCCCCCTCTTTCAGTTTTTCTTTTACCTTCTTTTTCCGTTTCGACAGTGATGTGGCGAGGCCTGATGAATAGGATGATTATGCTTGATCTGGGACGCTGGACCCGTTTCTTTTTTTTTTCCCCCTCCAACCAGGAATAGTTTTTTTCTCTCTCAAAAGCGAAGTCGGGTAATGCTCCCATAACTCCGAGTTTTTCCGTGTGTGTTTTCCCGGGTAGATTGCGGGGTCCCCGGCCCCAACATGCAACTTCCAATTATATCAGGGACGCTGGGCCCGGTTCCCAGCATGTGCTGCTCCCCACAAATAGAATGGAGCCTTAAAAAAAAAAAAAACGGGTGTRRAARATRTRMTRARTTARGCARAAGAAAGAACAGTGGATCTTCCAACTGACCAGCCCCAGGTAAATTCAGAGTTATGAACTTTTTTTTTTTTTTTTTTTTTTTTAAGACGAGGCTCCAATCTATTCGTGGGGAGCAGCACGTGCTGGGAACCGGGCCCAGCGTCCCATATGAAATTTTGACATAGAATTTAAAAGGAATTTTGAAAGTTCAAGATCCCGGGGCTAAGAAGAAATTTGCTCTACTGAGAAAATTACTACAGAAACTTCAAAATAGGCAAAATTCAGAAAACAACACAGAGGCCCCCTCATCAAATCCTCTTTACCTTACTCCGGCAAGACTTACTGCAGCCGAGCCACCATCTCCACTGCTGCTGTACCCTTTTTCCATCCTACAAGCTAGCCCCTTCGCTAATAGGACGCTTGATATCCAACCATCCACATCCCACTCAACCTATTGTTAGAAAAATAGCCCCACAGAACAATCATGCCTCCATCATCGAAGGGAAGAAGCGCAGACTGATCCGGGTGAAGTTAGCGGCCAGTGGCCGGTACCGGCCGAAATTTCAGCGCCAATCGCATCCACTACCAACTTCCTCCTTCCCAATCACCTTCGTCCTTCCCAACTCCGTCCTCGTGAAGAACTTCAGAGAGCCTCTTCTCCGTGGGGGCCGAGCACCATCATCACCCTGACACTCTTTGCCCCCACAAGAATCCCAGTCTCCGTCGTCGAGGTGGTGAACTAGCACTGCCCAACGCCAATCGCGCCAGAGTTCACTCTCATCAGCCGGTACCCATCAGCCAGCTTAAACTACTTGACGCCAATCGCATCTGATAAGAGGCCCCTCTAGCCGGTACCCATCGAGCAGCCCTATTTCCTCCCCCTCTCCGTCCTTGTAAAGAATCATTTGATGCCCTGGCCCCTTACTTCAAAGCAGGTCCCCAAAAGCTCATCAAGATGCCCCGTTAGGTTTTTAATGGGAGAAAATTGAGATGCCGGAGCCATTACCCGACCTTGGCTACAAAACAACTTCTGACAACTTTGACGACCAAGAAGAGAGAGATCATAAGATAGAATCATCAAAGGGAACGACAGTAATCAAGACTAAGGAAATATTAGGTTTGCAAAATTAGGAACTCTTATCTGAAACATCTCTTAGAAGTTTTACGATTTTAAGATTTAAAACGAGATTTATGAAATCTATCTGAGGTGTCCGAAATTTGACTCATGAATATCTAAAATCAAGTGGATAATCCTGATCGTAGTTAAGGTCGTTGTTAAGGACAGCAAGAAGCAGAGTCTGATTTACGATTTTCATTTTAACAAGTGAATTCTTGGGATGAAAAGTATTTTGAAGGTAGAATCAAAGGAAACCATCAGAAACAATCAGAAAGCAATCAAAAAGTTCACAATCAGAGTGTTGAGAAATTATGGATCGCAATCAGAAGATTCACAATTAACAATTATTATCCAAAAATATCTGTAGGTTTCGAATTGTAAGGAAGCCAGGCGGCACGTGGGCAGAATCGTAATCCACTAATACCAATTTTCGTCCCTTCTTCCTCAACTCAAACACTTACCTCCCACCTCTCAAACCGTACCCCTGCATCCTTGGGAAAAGAAGTACTACCTTCCTCCCACTGCTAGCATCTGGGCACAAAGCAAAGCCAACACCAAAGATATGAACGACCATCTTCAATCCCTGAAAGGAAACGAAAACCGTGTGACACCCCTCGCCAAACCTGTTAACGAGTTGCCACATGCGGTTCAAGCTACCCTAACTCTACCTTTTCCATACTGTTGAGGAAGGGGGACGGGTTTACGAACACAAGACAAGGACAGCAGGCCCCACCTACCTGGTTCATAGGAACAGGACTCCGTACTCCCCACGACACCATATCCTACCCTTCTCTCATCACCGAACTCTCCCGTGACTTACCTTCTCTCGCCTTGCGTCTTCACCCCTTCACGTCGCCTAGCTCTTCAGATCAAATAGGATGTCGCTGAAGATCTACATCATCAGCCGCGGAACTCCTCTTCCAAATCATAGCTGACGGGGATTCATTTCTCGTGCGCCACTTCGATAGAATATGAAGCCGACGAGGTTACTCAATCATCGTTACACGTGTGACGTAAGCACGCTGGCGGGCCCCAAGATTGTGGTTCACGTCACCTGGCACTCAAAAAAACCGCCATGACCGCCAAATCAACCTCTACACTCCCCCCCTTCACCACACCGTACAGCCGCAACGTCGCGCCGCCCACCTCCTGATAAAACCCCGCTATAAGAGGCAACGACTCCCCAAGCCAATCTCAACCTACGCCCTCAACCATACAGCCGCAACGCCCATCCTACCGCTTTCCGCCAACCATCGCCGCGCGCCAATACCACCGTGAACGACGGTTCGCTCCCACATCGCACCCTCGACCGACACCGCTCCGACCAGTTTTTCATACGCGGGGTGCATCCCTCCCGGCAGCGTTGCGCCCACTCTTGTTCGAACTCATTTGAGTTCGTAGGGATTCAAATTCAGGTGTGTATTTCATTACCTCATGGGTGCACCGACTGAGGGCACCCTTGTGACGCCCAACCTCACGCCCGACGCGACTTCCTGATCGGAGTGGGATGTGGGCCTGAAACTGCGAGAAGGGGTGTGCCAAGGATTTTTGGGGGAAGTGGGGGTAGAGTCCCAGGTCAGAACTGAGATCTCCTATGGCAAGGGTCCAGGGTCATAGATGCAATAGGGCTAAGGGGTGGGTTGCTTCCGGTCGGATGGCGGTCAGTGTCGTGCAGTCATAAGCCAGATGGCATGCGTGATGCATCGAGGGCCGTCCGATCTATCTGTTTTGGTGACGGCGGTTCGGGAGGGGCCCGTTCGTGGGGGTTACGATTCTTATGAGTCGGATCTTCGGGTGCAGACACGTGGCGTCTGTCGCCGCGTGTTATGGTTAGGCTCTGTAGCTCCCGGGGTTCGGCGGTGGCTGCGTCGCCTGCAATTTCTGCACGGCGTGCAAGGCCAATACGGGGCGATGGAATTCCACTGTACCACCATGAGTTGGTGATACGGGAGGAGGAGACGAAAGAGAGGGAAATTGGTAGTGACAACGACAAAGCCGGGGGATATGAAGTATTGTGTGTTATACGTAGTTGGGTAATCGGGGCACCTTGGATCGCTGGTTACGGCACAACGAAACTCCCTGGGGCACAATCGGTTCTCGGTTAGACAGGGAAATTTTGGGCGTCTCTGCCTAAGATATTCTCTTACCCAAGGTTCGAAGTACCCTGAGTCCCATGTGTCCGTCATCTTCAAGTTGTCATCACGGTGTATTGGGAGCCTTCCGTACGCGTCTAACTGACAGGGGGATCTCCAGATATGGTGTCGGAAATTCGTGTCAGTTCAGGTGTTTGAAAGGAGGACGGTTCCTCACCTATCCCGATAATGGAGGTGCCAGGTTCGTCAGAGATCGCGACTCGCCGCGCGTGGACACGTGTAGGCTGCGCAATTCGGATCGCGGTTACACGTATCCATACAAGGTGTTCACTTGCACTCGAGCCTGTTGGCCGACGCTTACGCCCAAGTGAAAATTTAATCCCTCATGCAAAATCGCGACGTGTCATGGATGACTACTCAATCATCTAATCCTCCGTGGCCCCACAAACAATAATTTTCGAGTATGCATGGTGTCATTACACATTAGACATCGCAACAACATCAGAGCTCCTACCATACTAACAGTGGATCAAAGTGACAAGCAATGATGATGACTAGGCAAAAACGACAAACATATCATTCCATCCGAACTAGTTCATTCCATACACGCAGAAGAGGAAGAATCGAAACAGAATGAGACCTCCTACAAAGTCCAATATCAAAACAAAGATGTCGAAGGAAAATAACAGCGAATCGCTCGAGCCAAAATCAAAACTTATATACAAAATTAAAGGAAAAAACCAAAAAAATTGCAAATCCACGTCCATCAACCTTAGCTCTCTCTTCCTTTCTCCCTCTCTCCGATGCGGACTGCCCGTCGTCACGCACCAACCCATGAAGTCGTCACCCCGCTTAGTCCTCCTGCACCCGTCAGGTTCGCCTGCGCGCTACATTCCGTCGCAGCCCCACGCGTCAACCCCGCGCATTCGGCACCAGCCCGTCGGGTCGCCCGACTCCCACTTCAATTCACCTCTTACTTCGCTCGTGAGCCTACCCTCACTAATCGCGCTACCCTGAGTTTCCAGCAACCGGTTAAGAGAGCTGTCTAATCGCGCAACCGAAATTTATAGCATGCATGCAAGCGCGAAGAACCCGGAATTGCAAGGACTTAGAAAGGAGATTAGGAGAGGGAGAGCCTACGTTCTGCATGGCCAGACCGAGGTGTGGGGGACGTAGCCACTCTCCACGCATCGATCCGATCATGCAGCCCGCGGGCTAGACATCCACGACAAAAAGGAAAGGAGAGGGCGGGAAGGATGAAGCTCAAGAAGAGAGATACAGTTACAATGGTGCCTGCCCAAAAATTACAGTTACACATGAGATTAAGGGCGCCGACTAATCAGAGCTCCACTGCAGCCGCAACAAGACGCGCTCAAGAAAGACAACGCGCGGCAAAAGAAATCCCGAATTCCTAAATTCCTGAATTCCTAAACTGATTTTAAAAAAGAAATTTAATAAAACGAAAATTCTGAAAAGAAAGTCCAAAATTCCGAGAGCCATCGAGGGGTCGACAAAATTTGAGAAAGAAATTAAAAAAGGAGCAAAACTTCCTGCGCGACCTTCGGGCCTAAAACCCGACAACAGAACAAGAAAGAAGCGACGTCAAACATTATTAATCGCGCCTTCATCAGCATGACAGCCACTCAATCGGCCATCTCGGGACTTGCCCGGCCCGAAACCCAGCCATAAAAAAGAAGCGACACAGAAAGACGAAGAGGCGAGGACACTGATGCAATTTCCCTTCGATCCCTATCTCCCGTAATCGGCCCATCCTTCCCATCTTAGGACCCCTCATTGTCATCGCGCAGAAAATCACGCGGAACAGAAATTGGTTCGTCACATATGTGACGCCCTGGGGGTTCCAATCTTAAGCAAGCTCCTGCTTGCTTGTCATTATGACACGTGTCGATTTCTCTAATCGATCGACACGCGGAGCTTTCTACGTTGCCACCAACCGTGCGAAGGAGTGTGGAAGTCATCCAGTGTGGCAAACACGGCTCTCTCCTAAAGATTCCTCTGGAAGGGCTCTCTTTAATCCAAGGAGGGGATTATTTGTGTCATCGCCGTGACACGTGTCAATCAACCGTGCATCAATGACCAACGGGAAGAGGAAAGGGAAGACGATACATGGGGGCATGGCGAGGGGGTGGGTTAGTCGGGAGCGGGGGTAGAAAGCGTTCTAATCCCGCGACTGTCATTGGAAGCTCCTGATATCGGATGATGCGATGAAAGCAAGGGAATCGATTACCACTATGAGGAAGGGATACGAGATAGTCGGGGTAGAGGGTGGTGAAAGTACGGAAGAGTGCCATGCGGAAGTGATCGTGGTTTTCGCATGTGGGGATAGTGCCCGTGATCATGCAGTAAACCTCGATGATGTTGTGGCCTCACCACGCGACAGTAAAGAGAAGGGCGTGGAGACAGAAGACAGGGGTGGCAAACCGGGTAGAGGGATGGGGATGAACCGTGACAACAAGACGGGTGGCGTAGAAAAAGCGGAAGGTGTCGATTGGAAAGGGATTAAGGGGGAAGGTGATGCGGGTGGTGATCTGGCGGAGGGTGAGGTGGTCACGGGGGCGACGGGATAAGGACCGGGGACGAAGCCCGATGCCCCGCATCGGTACGAGCTCGAACTGGTGGACAGGCGGAGGTGGAGGGGGAGGGGGATCGACTCCGTCGACGTCGGGCCGGTGCGCTCGAAGTCTCGGTAGCAAGGTTCCCATTGTCGTTCTTGGGCGGCTCGGGATCCTTGGCCGGGTTGTTCGGGATCGACAGATCCACTCCACTTGCGAACTCCAGCGGCTGCTTCCCGGCTGCGATCTCCTCTCTCCTTCGTGCCGCCTCGGGATCCTCCTCCCGAGTCTCAGCGCATTCCGCCTCTTCACCCAAAGTCTCCCACTCAGATTCCTCCTCTTCCTCCAACTGATCCTCTTCCTCTTCTTCTTCTTCTTCTTCTTCTTCTTCTTCTTCTTCTTCTTCTTCTTCTTCTTCTTCTTCTTCACCACCACCTGACTCTTTCTCGCTGTATTCACTGTAACTTCCTGCTTCTTCGGAGGTTTCCTCTTCTTCCTCCTCGTCGCCTTCCTCTACGCCCTCTTCTTCTTCCTCCTCTAGAATTAGCCCTTCGTCTTCGGAGGCCGTTCGAGGCTGAAAGAAGGCGAGGTCAATTATCCTCCGCGGGACCTGGTATTCTCGTTGCGATGGCGGGTTGTTGTTACCTCCCTGCTCTTCGAGGCAGGCCGACCACGTCAGAGTTCGTGAAAGGACATGCGGGACCGGACTCTCGTCGCATTGAGAAACGATATCGAGAGGGAGATCGTCGACCAGCTGCGCGAGGGGAATCGTGAGCTTCTGTACGATCAGTTGTCGATGCCCAGGCCGCACCAATCCGGATAGAAACCCGAGCAGGTCTCCTTCCACCTCCGTCCTCCAAGCTTGGATGATCAACAACTCCACGTATTCGATCCAGGCGCGGTGCTCTATGTCCCTCGTCCACGTCATCTGCACCCCGACCAAACACACCGAAAGATCGACAAAGTGCTCGCACCACAGTTCCCACCGTCTTCGATCGAGGAGGGGAACAGCGAGTGATTCTAGACGAAAGGAGAGACGGGGGTAAAGGTTAGACTGCCAGAAGGTAGGGAAGAGAGATGGGAGAGTGAAGGTAGAGAGTTGGGAGGGGTTCATTGAGGACGCAGGAAGGGAACGAGCTCCGGAAGCACCACCGCCGGCTCGTGTCGAGATGTTCGGATTCCTCCGACGCCGATGTCATCTGTGGGGACAAGATCATCGCCACGGCGAGTAAGCCACTGATTCCACTCCGTTGCCAGCTGCTGGCCCCACTCCCTGAACGACGTCCGGATGGTCTTGTGTCGTAGAGGGCTGATTGTGCTAATATCACCGCCGAAGATGACGATGGTAGACACGTGGCGAACTCTCGGTGCTGACAGCCGTCGAACAGCCAACGCCTCTGCCAACACGATCGCTTGACGATGGCCCGTGAATCGGAACTCCGTCGCCACGTACACTCCCGTGGTACAGAAGAACTGCGCGAGCCGTAGAAGATCTGGATTGAATCGCGGGTGATGGACTTGCCGAATTACCGAAATGTCGCCACGTGGCACCAACATGTGATCGCCGAGAGCCCGCTCAGTGAGAAAACTTATGGCGATGGCGATGGGGACAGGGTATGAGAAGGGGCAAAAGATGCAGGAGGGGATGAGAGCGGTAAAGAGTCGTCGTCCTCCTCTGTAGCGAAGGAGGAAGCAGACACAGCTGGAGATGGAGAGGAAGGGAGAAGACGAAGATAGGACACGTGGCGGACGATCAGTCGAGCCGATTGGCTTCCCGAGACCTCCGACACGAGGCGCATGGCGTTCACCCCGTTCGATCACACGAAATCGCCCGAAGAATCGTGGCGCTATCTTCCCTTGGCGAGCACATTTCCTCACCTGCACCAAGTCCCCTAATTTATACTGCGGCCGTGGTCCTGCGTTCCCATTTCGGGCCTCGTAGCTACGGACCTGTCGGCCGTGGGCCAACTCAGTTATTTTCTGGCTCTTTCGGGCTAATCGGAGAAGGGACCGTTCTATCAGCTCTATGTGCCGCTTGGCCTTGTCCTGAACCGTGGCTCTCGTGGGTCGTCGGTTCAATGATGATTCATCGGGGAGGCTCGAGATCGGGACACAAGCTATGCTATTGGTTCGTAATTGGAAGGGGCTAAGGCCCGTCGATTCGTGAGGCGTTCCCCGATGGACCACCAAGATGTGATCTACGATATTGGGCCAGGGCCTCGGATCCCGTGCCGCGATGTTTCGTCGCAACGCTGTCTTTATCACCCGATTTGCGTTTACTACCAGGCCGTTAGATTGCGACATGTGGGGTGCAGTGTTCCGAATGGCGATGCCATGTACGACCAAATTCCTTAAAACTTCCCCTCTGAATTCTACCCCATTGTCGGTCAGGATTTCCTCTGTGTCCTAGTGCATCCCTAAAAACCGGTTAACGTATCGCGCAATTTCAGCCGCCTGTCGTGTACGACACGGATATGCATCAATCGATTTCGAAAAGTGGTCAACGAATACCAGTAGGATTGAATACTCGCAGCTATTACGTCCAGGGGGCACCACAATATCGGTAGTATCTATGCTAACCCCATGAAACGGCCGTTCAACTACCGTCGGCACTATCGATCTTGGCGGTTGAATCAACGCCTTGTCAACAGCGCAGACCTGGCAGTTCGCGACGATGAATTTCACATCATCACGAATATTGGACCAATACCACTCATTTTTCTTGATGGCCGCCTCCGTGATTCGGACAACGAAATGGGCTGCAGTTTCTTCGTGCGTCGTCTTAACCCAGTCGACCTCATGAACGGGTGCGGTACTACCATCCAAATCCCACTACTGTCCGTCTTTCGTTTTTCTAACCGGCCCTCGTTCCAGCGATAGTCCCTAACCCTTTCGTTGGCCCTCCTCCTGTCTTCCTTCGTGAAGTCCCGGAGGGGGTTACCTACTCAGGTGGCAATTAGCGCACTGTCTGTCCAAACTTCAGCCCTTCTAAATTTTCGGGTTTTCTCTAACCCTTCTGATGTGGCATCGAGAAATCGAGCCTCAGTCGGGATCTTATCAATCCGACACAAGGGACACAACCAAGGCTTATCGTCATTTCTATACTGGATACACGAGCCATGGGCTCGTGCGACACACTGCCGACAATCTATCCACTCTGGATATCCCTTCCCACTAGGACGCATAGGGACTGAGTAGATGCGCGAAATTGCTTCACAAAAATAACAAAATTTGTCGGGTAGGGAGAGGAGAGATGAGGATGAGAGGGGAGAGAGGGGGGTCGCAAGATTACCTCCATCACCCATTGTCAATTGCCTGCTTCTTGCCACGTGGAAGGACTGCCACTTGTCCATACTTAGGTCCGTTCGCTCCAGTTCCTTCCACGGAATGATTTCTTCACCCTTAGGTACGTTAGCGGGGCGATGCAGACGTGTCAACCCGTCCTCGTTGCCATGCCTCTTCGTCTTTCGATGGATGATGTCGAAGTCGTATTCCTGCAGACGCACCGCCCACCGTCCAATCATACCCGTGTAATTAGTGAGCTTCTTGAGAGCCAATAATGGCTCGTGATCGGTTACAAGGAGGAACTTTTGTCCGTACAAGTACGCATGGAAGTGCCGAATCCCCCAGACCACTGCGTAGCATTCGCCCTGCGGGGCCGAATCGTTCCTCCGCTCGTCTGACACCGTGCGTGATGCGTACTCGATGACGTGTTCTCGGTCGCCGTTCCCCTTCTGCGCTAGAATAGCGGACATCGCCTCTGGATGCCAGTCCGTGATAAGAATGAACTTCTTCGTAGGGTCCGGTCGGATCAAAATAGGTGTCGTCGCCAGGGCGTCCTTGAGGGTGGCGAAGGCCCGTTCGCGCTCTGCATCCCAGCTGAGGGGCTGGTCCTTCCGCAGTAGGTTCGTTAGAGGCCGCGCAATTGCGGCGAAGCCCTTGATGAAGTGACGATAGTATGATGCCAGCCCCAGAAAAGCTCGAACCTGCGTCAATGACGTGGGGACAGGGGTGTCTTTCACCACCGTGACTTTTCTCGAGTCTGGTCGCAGTCCCCCACGTGTCACCACGTAACCCAAGAACGAGATTTCCAAGAGGAAAAACTCACTCTTTTCGAGCGCGATTTTGAACCTAGCATCTCTCAGAGCTCCGAGCGTCCACTCGATTTGTTGTGCATGCCCGTGATAGGTCTCCGAGTAGACTAGGATGTCGTCCATATACACGATGACGCATAAGTTAACCATCCCCTGAGTTAGCCGCGTCTTGTTGACGAAGTTCTGGAATGTCACATTCATAGCCCGCTGAAACGTGGCAGGCGCGTTGCAAATCCCCATCGGACACCGAACCCATTGCCACGTGCCCCCAAACAATACGAAGGCAGTTTTCGGTCGATCCTCTTCCTTAACCAGAATATGATGAAACCCATGACGAATATCAAATTTACTAAAACACACCCAATCGCATCCAACAAGTCATCAATCCGGGGAAGGGGATACACATCTTTGATCGTGATATCATTCATTTTGCGATAATCAATGCATATGCGAATCGATCCGTTTTTCTTTGGCACGAGGACTATTGGAAATGACCACGGCCCAGTAGCAGGTTCGATCCATCCATTGGCTTCGAACTCCCTGATCCGCTGAAGGGCCGTCTTTCGTTCCACCAGGGAATACCTGTAGGGCTTACAGTGGATCGGGGGATGGTTTCCGGTCTGGATTTCATGCTATATGACTAGCGACAATCCGATGTCTGTGTCCGTCACACTAATTGCTCCTTTATATTCCTTCAAAATGTCCGCGATTAGGTGATGGATTTCATCAGGTACGTATTGAGGCACGTGCAATTCATACAGTTGATCCCATATCCTTACATCGATCTGTTTCATACTTACCCGCTTCGCGCTTTAAGGTGGGGGCGCGGAAATAAACGAATTATCCGATCGCCAGGAGAATACCGTAGCCATCATTTATGCGTCCCGCTCTCGGATGACCACGTGTTCCTCTGGCGTTACTCTGTCTCGAATGTCTTGCCATGGCACGGGTTTCGTTGCGATTTTGATTCCGAGCCCAGTTTCGAGGCGCTCAGGGGGTTCCAAAGAATTGGTCTCTGCCCCTAAGCGTAGTAATCGTATCTCTTTTGCAGGTGTCAAAAGAGATCGTGGGAGATTCGTGATGTCGCAGAAGTGTCTTTTGTTGTTATATCGTGCGAGCAAAGGGGAGATACCTTCGTACAGGGTTCGAGGGGGTTCCAAAGAATCGACCATCCTCGAAATTTGTACGAGGGGTTCACCCATAATCATGGTTTGCGTTCTTCATAGACTTTGCTCAGTCGGGCTTAGTGAGTTCGTATTCGTTCTTTGCACAGGGTAATAAATGCGCTGCTGCACCATTTCTTGAATTATTGGATCGTCCTCATCACTGCTATCTGCGTGCTTCGGAGGTATCCCAGGTAATCACGTGAAGAGTTCCTGCCATTATTGGAGAAACTGGCGGGGTTACGTTAGCCGTGATTCGAAGAGTCAGTCTCATAGGTACAACATAGGGTTTTCCTCTTGTGTTTCGGAGGACAATCGATCACCTCTTGAAATCCAGATTGGCTCGCAAGGCCACCAGGGCGGGAAGGCCAAAAAGGACGCCGTACGTACTTACGTCTAAAACTACGACATCTCCCAAAGCATGTACTTTCCCTAATTGAAACGCAACATTGGTCATTCGTCCTACCGTTTTAATCTTCTTTTCATCCGCTGAAACGAGCTGTTCTTTTTCCGTAAGCATGATTAGATCGTTCTTTCTTCCTGCCCTTTCAACTACCCGTAATGAGATAGCTAGGACAGCGGCCTCTGAATCAATGATAGTATTGTACGGAATTCTCCATACCTCGATATCGCATTCTGTGGATTTCCATGAGATTGGTTTAATCCTTAGGAAGTGATCATCTTTTTGGATTAATCCTAGCCGTATCGGATCTGAAGTACCCGATGCATTTTCATATGGCGTGGGATTTTTTGCTTTTGTGCTCGTTGTTCGGGCAAGGGCGAATCGTTTTCAATCCGCCTTGCAATGTTGCAGCATCCGTTCGTTGGCTTGTTCGGATATAGAGAGTAGATGATCGATTGGAAGAGGAATCCGATGATCCAAGGCTCGAACGATGTTCAAAACATCGATCTCTCCTGTGACGAAGGTGGGTCCTCCCGACTCCATTTCCCCTGGAGAAGGTCGCCACTCCGCCACTTTTCTTTTATCTGGCGCCGGTCTAATTGTTCCAATCATCCCAAGCCCCAGGTAACCAAGCATTACATACTGATCCAATAGAATAAGCTCAACGGTTTCCTCCACTGTAGCTAGCGTGCTTTCTCCTCCTTCCATTTCTTCCATTAATGCTCTTACACGTCCAGACCCGTTAGCAATCGGAGCTGTTGCTACTGGTGCAGCCCCGACTCGTGGTTGTGAGGGTCGATGAGGGCAATCCCGGGCTATGTATCCTGGTTGATGACATGTGTAACAGACATTCAAGTTGTCAGGGATCCCTGCAGGAGGCGGTGTCGGAGCCAATCCGTGTTGAATCGGGGCGGCACGCACCGCTATTGGATGCATCGACCTTATTTTTGCCTCTATTCGAGTGTTGTGTTCCCGCTGTTCCTTTTTGCTTTTCTGAATCAGAGTGACCGGTGTCTTGGCTAGTTCCAATAAGGCGGAGAAGTTGTTCGGTCGTGGAGGACTTTCGATCGGAGGCGGGGGTGATGTCATTATAGGAACGGGAATGCTTGTAATCACACTCGGGACCGGTCGTTTGGGACTAATCTGTTTTAGATAGGTGACGGGGCCCGATACAAACCCCATGTTCTCAAATTTGTTTTGTAGTGCAGCCAACTCAGCTTTAGCTCTCGCTAGTTCGAACGAGTCTCCTTCCCTAGGATAGTCTTCCCCTTCTAGGAAACTCGCAGCGAATTTTCGTTCCATTTCCTTTGCAGCTGCCATGATCTGTTGCAGCGTGTGATTGATGAAGAAAACTGTTTTCGTAGTTTCGCCCTCATCGTTCGGCTGCGAAGTCCATCGATGAACAAATATTTGCCTACCTGTTCGCCTCGTTCTGTTTTTACGAACATTCGATAGAATCGGTTCCGATACTCAGTGACAGACTCGAGGGGTTTTTGAACTCGATCTTTAATCATAACAAGAGCCTGTTCCGGGTGGATGTGATCGAATCGATTCAAGAAATCTCGCTCGAATGTCGGGAGATCGACCCATACATAGGTGCTAAACCAGTGATGGGCGTCTCCTCCCAATCGTGCGGGGATATTTACCTGCGCCTCATTGTCATCATACTGCTGAGCTCGGAGCGTGGCCAGCCATGCTCCAGCGAGATGATGTGCAGGGTCGAATAGATAAAGATCGGGTGGCGTCATAGGAGCCCGTGCTCGTGGTGGAGGTTGATTAGGATTCTGTTGTGGATTCGGATTTTGTTGGGGGTTCTGTTGATTAACGTTCATGTTGACCGCCCGTCGAGCCGCAGACCGACTTCTGGTGACGACGGGATCGCGTCGATGCGCGTTCCGGGGTCGAGGCCGTCCCCTGTTAGCCAGATCGCCCAGCTATGAGTCCTAGAACCCTGCCACGTGTCGGGCTCCGATACCAACCTCACGCCCGGCGCGACTTCCTGATCGGAGTGGGATGTGGGCATGGAAGTGCGAGAAGGGGTGTGCCAAGGATTTTTGGGGGAAGTGGGGGTGGAGTCCCAGGTCAGAACTGAGATCTCCTGTGGCAAGGGTCCAGGGTCATAGATGGAATAGGGCTAAGGGGCGGGTTGCTTCTGGTCGGATGACGGTCGGTGTCGTGCAGTCATAAGGCAGATGGCATGTGTGGTGCGTCGAGGGCCGTCCGATCCGTCTGTTTTGGTGATGGCGGTTCGGGAGGGGCCTGTTCGTGGGGGTTATGATTCTTATGAGTCGGATCTTCAGGTGCAAACACGTGGCATCTGTCGCCGAGTGTTATGGTTAGGCTCTGTAGCTCCCGGGGTTCGGCGGTGGCTGCGTCGCCTGCAGTTTCTGCACGGCGTACGAGGCCAATACTGGGCGATGGAATTCCACGGTACCACCGTGAGTTGGTGATACGGGAGGAGGAGACAGAAGGGAGGGAAATCGGTAGTGACAACGACAAAGCCGGGGGATATGAAGTATTGCGTGTTATACATAGTTGGGTAATCGGGGCACCTTGGATCGCTGGTTATGGCACAACGAAACTCCCTGGGGCACAATCGGCTCTCGGTTAGGCAGGGAAATTATGGGCGTCTCTGCCTAAGATATTCTCTTACCCAAGGTTCGAAGTACCCTGAGTCCCATGTGTCCGTCATCTTGTCATCGCGGCGTATTCGAAGCCTTCCGTACACGTCTGACTAATAGGGGGATCTCCAGATATGGTGTCGGAAATTCCTGCCAGTTCAGGTGTTTGAAAGGAGGACGGTTCCTTACCTATCCCAATACTGGAGGTGCCAGGTTCGTCAGAGATCGCGACTCGCCGCGCGTGGACACGTGTAGGCTGCGCAATTCGGATCGTGGTTACACGTATCCATACAAGGTGTTCGCTTGCACTCGGGCTTGTTGTCCGACGCTTACGCCCAAGTGAGAATTTAATCCCTCATGCAAAATCGCCACGTGTCATGGGTGACTACCCAATCATCTAATCCTCCGTGGCCCCACAAGCAATAATTTCCGAGCATGCATGGTGTCATTACACATTAGACATCGCAACAACATCAGAGTTCCTACCATACTAACAGTGGATCAAAGTGACAAGCAATGATGATGACTAGGCAAAAACGACAAACATATCATTCCATCCGAACTAGTTCATTCCATACACGCAGAAGAGGAAGAATCGAAACAGAATGAGACCTCCTATAAGGGCCAATATCAAAACAAAGATGCCGAAGGAAAATAAGAGCGAATCGCTCAAGCCGAAATCAAAACTTGTATACAAAATTAAAGGAAAAGACAAAGAAAATTGCAAATCCACGTCCATCAACCTCAGCTCTTTCTTCCTTTCTCCCTCTTTCCGATGCGGACTGCCCGTCGTCACACACCAACCCACAAAGTCGTCACCCCGCTTAGTCCTCCTGCACCCGTCAGGTTCGCTCGCGCGCTACAGTCTGTCGCAGCCCCACGTGTCAACCCCGCGCATTCGGCACCAGCCCGTCGGGTCGCCCGACTCCCACTTCAACTCACCTCTTACTTCGCTCGTGAGCCGACCCTCACTGATCGCGCTACCCCGAGCTTCCAGCAACCGGTGAAGAGAACTATCTAATCGCGCAACCGAAATTTATAGCGTGCATGCAAGCGCGAAGAACGCGGAATTGCAAGGACTTAGAAAGGAGACTAGGAGAGGGAGC